TGTGTGTGTGTGTGTGTGTGTGTGTAATGTGTTTTCCTCTTTTGTTTTTTCTTGTTAATTAATTCTATCTTTTTGTGGATTTGTGAGTTGCAATTTGTATATCAATTGCTTTGATGAAATTGGGTTTCCGCAGAAATTGTGAACCGTGATGGAAAATCGTCCCTTCTCTCGATGGTTAAAGCTTTCGACTCGATCCTCGAAGTTTATGAAGGCTTCTGTAACTTGAAACAGGTGACGGTTCTTGCTAATTATCGCCATTTCATCTCTAATTTCGGTTCGTATAACTTTTTTCATGCTTATAGGAAGCAGAAATGGTGGATTTTGCTGTTCGTTTTCGACTTTTCGACAAAATTTGATCGGTGGCCACTGTATGTGACATAAATGAAAGCTGTTAGTAGTGAAGTAAAATCGGAAATGTGAGGTCAAAACAATGAGGACATCATTAACATAAGCATGCTATATCAGAGTGTATATTAGTAAAATTGTATTTGTAGCATTAATGTAGGAGTTTGAAAACTAATATTTTGGACTAAATTCACCATAATAAGTGCAGAGTTATGCAAAACAGTGCTGACTTATTGCGCCAAAGTATATTGTTGATATCGAAAGTGAAGAACAAGGGAAAATTTTGCTGCTAACTAACGAATATGCTTCAGGTGGATCTTAAGCTAAAGATCTGCAGAGGCTCGCCTGTTACGAAAATCCTCGTCCGTGAAGCCAAAGCTTATACTGCATCCGAGCTCATTGTGGGTACCGCTCAAACTCACCACACGGTTCGCTCGTCGGCCTCTATTGCAAAACACTGCGCAAAAAAGCTGCCAAAGGATTATTGCTCGATATTAGCCGTCAACAATGGGAAAATTGTTTTTTGCAGAGAATCCAGTTCATCCTCTCGTGTTAGCATTAAAGGTATTGTAATGTCCGCTTAATTCATATTTAGAACTTGGGCCTCTCCTTAATTAAGCTAAACTTCCTTTATTTTTTTTGAAAAGCAGAAATTGAGCATCGCCGTAGGAATCGGTTACTGACTGCCATACAGCGATCCTTCAGCAAGAACATTAAAGTTCCCAATAATGGTGATTCGAAAAGGCTGAGGTTGACTTGGGACGAGAAAAGCAGTAGCGGTCAAGGGAACTCGGTTTTGGCCTTAGCTGCTGCTCCCGAGCGAAACTGTTCGATTTGTTCACCGGATTTGTTCACAGAGGACGATGACAAGAAAGAAGTCAACTCG